TTACAGTGAAATATATTGTATTAATAATATGTTGCAACCACCCCCAGCCAATGTTGCAACTGTCCCCGGCAACGGGGTCAGTTGCAACATCTGACTTTTCATTTTTAAATGCAAATTGTGAAGAATGTCTTTAATCATCTATAAATGGTTTTGACTATTAACAGACAGTTTATTGTATAAAAATTTAGTTTGTCCAATTCTTCTAATTCTTATTCATCTCTGAGTAACAGAGTCAAATGCAAAAAGTGTTGCAAATGTCCCTGGTCTCCGTTACCTTGTGCTACTTTTTGCCTTTTAGATAGTTTGACGGTATTATTTTGGTTATTTTTTTCTAGCTATTTTTTATTTTAGGCTTATCATATCAGTTTTAGCTTATTCCAGTTATTTCAACATATTTAGCGCTTACTTTGCAGTTGTTACAGACCAGGGGTGGTTCTAGGGGGCAGGGCCACAGGGGCATTGGCTCCCGCTGAAATCTGATTGGCCTCCTGAAGTGCCCCTGTCCTGTCACTCATCTGTCCTCTACCTGGGGGTCAACAAGAAAAAATAAGTAGGTCCTCTGGATGGGTTCTTCTTTAGTGAAACGTTTCGTCTCTCCTCCAAGAGACTTCTTCAGTCTGAGTTTCAGGTGAACTCAGCCTTAAAAGCACTGCCTCCACATGGTGGACAAACAGGTCAGTCACATCCAATGTGTGATGATGGTGGATGCAGTTCCATGTTCTAACACTAGTTGTGCTAATGAGTCAAGTAGTAAAGTCCAGAATGAATCAAGCTTACAGAATTCTTCTCTTCTTAAAATGTGAACAATCCTGCAAAAAAGTCTTTCATCTGACAAATGATGGCTGGATTTTCTCACATGTTGTGTGTTTGAAAATATTTTATCTATGTACAAAAATGTATGAAAAACTGGTGAGGAGAATTTACTGTGCAGGCTTTTTGTTACCACTTTACAATCACGCTCCCCTTATAGAAGGCTTATAAAGAGTTTATAGATATGTTACTAATACATCTGTAAAGTTTGCACTTCATAAATCATTAATAAATGAAACTGGACAATGTTGTCTCTTTCTCGTCCTTAATTATCGCATACTAAACACTTATCATTTTTAAGTGTTTACAGATTTGAAGAAATTTATAGTTATTAGAGTTTAGTACTGATGTTAAAAGCACAACACTATATTTTTAGGTTTTCCTTTTTATAATGTTTAATCTATAAGGTGTTGATTGATATAGATTAGTTACATGTCCGAAATATCTATAACAACACATATTTATCCGTTATGAGAACAGTAGGTGAGAATTTTGTATGAATGCCGGTGATTCAGCCGTAGGTCAGCAGGGGGCGAACGCGGGCATTGAAGACTCTATAAATGGATCAACTTCCTGGTTTGCCGGCAGTGCGTGGTTTCCTG